GTTTAGTAAACCCCTTGTCTGGTTGGAGCTCTTCCAATAAATCAGAGATCAGGGCAAAGAGTGCCAAGGACTTGGTAATCATTAAACAACCACAATACTTCCCTGATCCTAATTGATATAAGCATGTGTACATTTCTGATTATAAAAGTAATGTGGTTATTGTAGAAAGTTTGGAGGCTTTAGGGACATAGGAAGGAAATGAAATCCATTGATAATTGTATCACTCTGATATGCTCCTATTAACATTTTGTTGTGTTTCCTTCTACTCTTTTTAAAAAAATCATGCTATAGATTTCATTTCATTTGGGTATATACCCATTAGTGATATAGCTGGGTCATAGGGTAGATCTATTTTTAGTTCTCTGAGGAACCTTCATGCTGTATTCCACAATGGTTATACCAATTTATACTCCCACCTGCAATGTAGGAGAGTTCCCTTTTCTCTGCATCCTCACCAATATTTGTTATTTTTTGTCTTGTTAATAGCTGTTCTTACTGGAATGAGGTGATATCTCATTGTGGTTTTAATTTGCATTTTCCTGATGGTTGGTGATGTTGAGTATTTTTTTCTGTGCCTGTTGGCCATGTGCATGTCTTCTGAAATGAAATCAACATATCGAAAAGACACCTGCACGCCCATGTTCATCGCAGCACTATTCACAATAGCCAATAGATGGAATCAACCTAAATGTCCATCAGCAGATGAATGGACCAAAACACTGTGGCATATATACACAGTGGAATACTGCTCAGCTATCTTAAAAAAATGATATCCTATCATTTGCAGCAACATGGATGGAACTGAAAACCTTCGTGTTAAATGAACTAAGTCAGGCACAAAAAGTCAAATACTGCTCGATATCACTCATATGTGGAATCAAAAAAAAAAGTGGTTCTCATAGAAGTAGAGAGTAGAATAATGGTTACCTGAGGAGGGGTGGGGAGGGCAGGAGGAGAAGGGGTGGACTAATGGGTATGAACCTATGCTATGGACCCTAAGTGAATCATTGTGCAGTGCACGCATGTATTGAAACAGCACACCGTACCCCACAAATGTGTACAAGTAAACATTAAAATATTTTGATAAAAAAACTAAATAAAAAGTACAAATCAAAAGCAAAAGTATTATAGGTAAAAATAGCTAGAAGAGAGGATTTTAAAGGTTCTCACAAAGAAATGACGTGTTTGAGGTGATGAATATGCTACTTATCCTGATATGATCATTAAACAACATATAGGATACATTCAAAACATCAAATTATACCTCATAAACATGTGCAATTATGTGTCAGTTAAAAACAAAATAAAACTTATAAAAAAAAAAAAGCAAAGAGTATTTTCCTCACGTCCCTAAATCTCAGTCCCATTCTCCAGAGGCCTCCACCATGCATAGCCAGTGAGCGCTGTGAGCGTACCGGTCATGATCCGAACCTGCGGCGGGAGCACTGCTGCGCTCCCAGCGCCGCACTCTCCCCAGTGCGCCACGGGCTCGGCCCCATTTAAAATTATTCTGATGGTTACCTCTGTATCTTCAATTAATGTGTTTATAACTACACTTTCGTGATCTATCAACTTCAGAAAAACTCTGTTTCTGCTCTCTAGGAGGGACAAGGAATTTGGCTTTCTTTTCTTCTCCTCTTTTTCTGTCTCTTTATTTTGCACGATTATTTTCAGTTCTTCTATTTGCTACCTTTATATCTAAGGATAATCTGCCACCATTGCACATGCTGATGGCTTTTGTGTAAGATGAGAGAATTAGTGCCCCCAAATTTCTCGATCCCTTCTAGTGGAGAACATCCTCCAAGTTTTCAGAAAGAGTGACAGCAAGTAGTCTCTAAGTCCTTGCTTTCCGAAAATGTTCATCTGCACATGGAATGCTAAGTTCGAAAATTTTTCTACTCTGGAGATGTCACTACGTTGTTCTC